TTAATTTTTGTGTGTCACATGGTATGTTGAATGCAGCACTGATTCAAGTTAGATGTTTGTGAAGTCAAAATACTAAGTCTTGAGTTTCGTACAAATTAGAAACTCACATTACCAATATTGACAAGCTAGAATATATAATAAGAGCCCTTTCTCTTTTTATTTGCTAAGATATTGATCATGTAATAAATCAAATACAGTGGCACCCCACCCACCTCTTTCCATTTTTGGAAACACTCCCTTATGTACCTTTACTTCTACATAATAAAAATAATAAATATATATAAATGTATAATGTACTGAGATTTAAACTATGTTTTTGTGTTATAATTTGTGTTCATTCTAGAATGAAAAAGGCATATCTTATGTTTATTTCCTAATTTTTTATGGTGGTTGCAAGATCATTCAAATTTACCAAACCCGTACAGAGATTAATTAATGAAAGTAACAGATAAAATATAAAATTTTTTTCTTAAGAAACATTTGATAACTATTCGGACATTATAAAGATTTCACATATGAAATTTAAAATTTTCTGATGCATAAAAGTATTTTTAATCTTAAATGAAAATTACTCTGCATGATAGACAAGCAAGATGGGAAAATAAAAAAGGCACGTGAGAAACACTGTTTTACAAACCTTACGACTTAATAAAAAAATTAGATATTTTGCATACGACAGCATTGTAATGTTTACTGATAATCTGCCAAATTTCATTAATTTTTGCTTACTAATTTAAAAGTTATAGCATGAAAACTAATAACAAGCACAAAATGGTTACAAGGTCATCACATTAACCGACCCCGTATTGAAAGAGATAATTAGAAATATGAATGCTTTCAGTTGTTTATAATGTCAAGTATTTTATCACAAGATAAGTCCAAGCTTTTCAGAACCTGTCAGAAAAACTGGAATATTAGAACATATAGTAGGGAGTAGAGTTCTGTAACACTAACGTTGTTCCTGCTTTAACTGTAACAAACTCCTACAGTAATGTACCTCAAAGTCTGAATATTTTTGGTTAAGAATCTTAATGGGTTGGTTTTGTTGTTAAGTTCAAGGTAGAAAATTTCTCACTTTCTAAATAAAATAAATATATGATGAATAATGGAACAAAACAACTGACAAATTACCTTTTTTTCTCAGAACCTTCAGGATCTTGTACTTTTGAATCAGTTCTTGAGGAGGACTTGATAGGTTTTGGACAATCCACAAAACAAGTGTCTGGGATTTTGCTATAATTTTAAGAAATAAATATTTTAAGTTGATTTACATACATACATGCATGCACAAGATGAAATGATTACTTTATTACCAGAAATACTACATCATCCTCCAGTGCAGTTATGTGCATAGACAACCAAAGGACATGTAAATAAAAAAGTAAGCACACACAGCATTCAGTTTAATTTTTTTATGTATTATTTTTTTGTGCATCTATAAAAGATATGGTTAGAAATAACAACAATAGAATAAACAGAATTATTCTGAAATAATTTGCAGTGATATACCATCTGGTATATTACATTTTCGAATTATAAAAAAAAGACTTGATAAAATTTCAAAATTAGAAAACTGATGAAAAATCATTTTTATATAGTTTTAGAATAAAACTAAGAATACTTTGCAGAATTAACCCTCCAATTACTACATTGTTTTTATACCACTTACTAGTTGAGTAGTTTGTGTATTGTGCCATGTTGAATATTAAGGCAAAGAATAAAATTTTGTGAAAACTGAGTCAAGATAGGGGGAAAAGTTGTATAACAGATTTAAGGTTGGCTTAATGGAAGGAAGCAGAAAATTATCAATGGAGTTCAGCCTAACTGGACTGAATTTACAAGTGGTGTGCCTCAGGGATCTGTGTTGGGACCATTGAATTCTGAAATAACATTAAATGATGTTAATTTAACTCAGTCAGGGATCTGTGCTGGGATCATTGAATTCTGAAATAACATTAAATGATGTTAATTTAACACTGTCAAGTATCTATGCTGGGACCACTGAATTCTGAAATAACATTAAATGATGTTGACACAGGCAGAGAACTGTGCTGGGAACATTGAATTCTGAAATAACATTAAATTATGTTGATTTAACAAAGTCAGGAATTTGAATAAACATGCAGGTAATCCAAAAATATTACATGTGACTGGCTGAAATAAGGATGTCATGATGTCAAAAAATTAGTTAGTTGGACAAACATTTGGAAGATAGCATTTAATTGTGATAAATGTAAGGTTATGTAAACAAAATACTATAATAATAATTATACTTATAATTTAAATGAGAAACTTTTTAGTTATGTGAATGAAAAACAGGATCTAGGAGAAGTGGATAATACAACTCAATCTTTTGAAACTCTGTTCTGTGAATATATAATTATTATATATATATATATGCAGAACTTCTTAGCTTGAGGATAAATTAGAGAAAATTTAAAGAAAAATAGCATATTGGTAGTAGTAGAAATAACAGCAAAAGACTAATTGGCTATAAACTGACAAGCTAAACAGAAAATAACAAACGTCAAGTGTGACTAGAAACACAGAACTTTATTTTTTTCGCCTGACAAATACAATAATGTATTAATAAACACCCTAACCCAAGGACAGAAATGCTACAGTAACTACTAAATTAGTACTTTCCACATGTCCAAGACAGATGGACAAGCAACTATTTAGCATCCTGTCCATGTTAACATTCCACAAATTAAAAAAAATAACCTAATGTAGACGATTTATATTAACTATACTCATAGTCATAGTAAATTATGTATGATTAATATGAATTAGTGTGGAATAGGGTTAACCGTTAGG